TTTTCTTGTATATTTGCGCAAGAGAGTGTTTTGGAAGGAACATGGATAATTGATCTTTCCTTTCTTCGTGATTTTCGGATGGTGATAGCTTCCTAGAAACGCAACTGAAGTTGAACGTAAATTTACAATTTACACTGATAAATGTCACTTTGGAAATGTAGAGGAAGTTTTGTAGAGTTATTCATGGAATCGTTTACGGAAAAGGAACTATTGGCGACGATAAATGACATGGGTTACGATCTTTCTCCTGAAGAACTGGTATTTTTTAAGAAAGGTAGATTTCTATTTGATAATTTAGTAGGATTCGTTTAAAAAAAATAAAAGATTATTATTTCTATATGGTCGTCGGAGGTATTTCTATATGGTTGTCCCCAGTTACTGAACAAGAAATTGTAGAAATGGATAAATTCTTGGATGAGCTGGAAAGAGAAAACGAGCAACAATCACAGGACCAAAATGTGTCATTTAGTTCTCTAATGAAAGATATTTCTCAACTGTCTACTTGTGGTATGTTTTGAAAACATGCCTAGAGCTTATATCCCATAGGTTCAATTTTTTTTACCTGAGCATCTGTTTTAAGTTTGAAGCTTTCCAGTGTATGACTAATTCGAATATTTGATGGAGTTAGATTTAATTTTTTTCACTTAGATATACCGTGCATTTCTGATAAGGAGGAATTAATTTATGCCGAACAATATCGTTGTCTTCAATCTCACGAAAATCCTGAATTGCGTAAAAATCAAGGAAATGCCGCGCGATCTTCTACATCGATTAATGTGAAACTGTTCAAAATTTGGAGAAATAAAAAACCATTTAAGATTTTTTGAATACTTGTTATGAAAAATGTTTCTATATTCAGCTTACTTTTCTCTTTTTCACATCTTTTATTCTTTCTATATACGACTTATAAAAAAGACTTTCATAATTAGTTTTTGCAGCGCTACGGAATACTAAATCGTGATGAAATAGTAAATATTTTGGATGATGGTTATCGTTGCCTTCGACAAATTACTGTAGATAACAATCGCTTGCAAGACCTAGTAATATTTTCGGAATTCAATAATTAAAAGCTTTATAGGATTAAAAGAAAATTTGGTGAAGAATTTTCAGAATAGCCGTCTCGAGGAAAGTTTGTACCATAGTCGTACAAGATCACTTTCGTCTGATGAAGACAAGCCAAAAATTGTATTTGCTCAAGCAGTGAACGATGTAAAAGGTTCTTTTTAAGTTTTATCTTATTTTGCTTCTTTTTCAGAAAATTTTTTCTTTGAGCAGTTCAGCACTATATATTTTTTAGTCCTGATTTTTTTATTAGCTAAATCCATTATTATAAGCTAAGTGAACTTCGTTAATTTTAATCAGACATGAGGAAATGAATATCCATATGAATAAAATATGATTTTAATAAATTCTTATTTTCAATTGATTTTTACAGATAAGGTGAAAAGTGACAATGTACAAATTGCTGTGGATCCTGGTAAGTTATTAGATTCTTATTATGTTTTGCACTAAAATTCCCCAAACTTTTCCTAAATATCTGTAATTACGCTTCAGTATTTTCAGCTATACGACCGGTTCTGCACCCTCTTCCTGGCGGAGTACCTTTTCGACACGATCCTGTGAAAAAATATGAATTATATAAGAAAGGTTGGTTGGAAAATCCTCCTCCAGGTGAGAAAAAGCGATTATCATTGAGGTGGAAGGTACGAGAATTCATGCTGCGAAGAGACATTTCCGGAGTTAAACCGCTAGATTTGGCTCGAAGAAGAATATCAAATCCTGATTGGTGTCCACGTCCTTATCTCGACTAAACAGTACTGTATACCTTTTTTTGTTCTTTGTTATTAAAAATTAGCAATGATATAACATTATCTACATTGTAATTGTAAATTCATTAGAAGCAGCAAAACTAAATATTTATAAATAGTCTTTCTTAATAAATTCTTTTTGTTTTTCCATTCATTTCAGAATTTTTTTTCTGATACTGCCATTGTCGGGAAAACCGAAATTGATTCTTTAATATAAACAGGTAATTGTATTTCCTTTAAAAAATTGTATAATCAGGTGAACGACAATTTGATAAAGTTTAGAGATTTGTAATAAATGTAAATGAGCTTTACATAGTTTTTTGTTTGTATTCTCACTATAGAAACCATATCCTATCCAGATGTTCATTTGCATATTTCTTTCTCATGATTGTTCTTAACATTCGCTCGTTTATCCTTAACATTTTTGTTGTGAAATCATTCCTTTCCATAGCTATCTTTATAGCTAATCTGATTTTATCATGACACGCCCATTAATCACATCCTGTTTATGAATTTAAATACACCAAAATTTTCTCAACAGTTGTTATTGTTAGCTTAAATTTTCGTCTTCCTTTATCTTTATCGCTATAATCTCCTTGACCGAAATAAATCTTGACATAAAGTCGTCAGTGGATCAGCAAGTCATATGATTCACTGACGACTTTGTGTCAAGATTTATTTTAATCAAGCAGAAAACTATTTCAGCCAAATCAAATCAACTTTAAAAAACTTTCACGATAGCCATTGATTTCTTAAAAATTTTCCAAAATCAGTGTGAATAAATTTTACATACAATTCAGTTTCCTATAATAACATTCGGCACATATATTTCTAAAGTTCAAGGAGTAGCCACTGTTTGAATTCAATCTTCGTTCTTGTTTTTCTCAGATGACCACAGGTTCGCGGTAGCAGAATGCATGAGAAGTGCAGAAAAATCGGATATTAAAGCCATTTTCACCTTTGTGATGATTCATCATTGTAAAACAGTTTATCAATATTAAGAGAATAGGAAATAAAATGATTGCTTCGTATAAAGGTAAATTGGGCGTCACAAAAACGTTTGTTCTCATTGAATTCACTGGTTGATCGATTCTTAACGACAATACTCCGCCACTAATCGAGGAATAGAACCCTGAAAACTGTCCTAATTTTCATTCATTACATGACTATGAACTGGTTTCAAACGGTCCTGCCTTTCCGAAAATTATATTTCATCCATTTCGAAGTTGCCAACTTACTTCTCCATTATTGTTATTTTTTTCTTTCTTCCAAATACATAATTGTCCCCAAATAAAATTGAAAACCTGTGTTTGATAAATTTTTGGAATTTTTGAGAATTAGTTAAAAAAAAAAAAGCAATGACCTTTTAAGAAAATACGCTGACGATTATACATTTTTGTTGCGAGTCATGGAGAAATTTGGTCAATTAAGCATTTTCACAACTATCCCAAATTTTTCAAGAAATTTTTGCTACACTTTCAAATGTAGCGCTATCTTTTTAAGTTGTTGAGGAGTCTAATTCAAATAAGAAAATGTAACATGAAATGAAGGAAGATTTAGAATTTTGAAATTTTTGTATGTTCAAATAACTGTAATTAATGAAATAATAAAATTTCTAATGGGTTCTTTTTTTTTTTTGTTCTATTATTCAATGTAAAAATGCCAAGCTTCGGCTAATTTTGTTAATTCAGTGCATTTTAAAATTTTGGATTCCTAAAAATTGCAAAATATTTTTTTGGGCAAAAATTTCGAAATATTCAAGTTACTGGTTGTTTTGCAATTAATTATAAAGCGATAATTCGATTTTAATAATTGATTCAAAATTGGAATTTGGGAAAATTCCCAGCTATCATCATAATCGGTTAATTACGCAATATTAAAAGGAGAAAGGTAAGATGAGAGAGAAAAAAAGAGAGGATAAAATGATTCTCATGGCCTTGTTTACATCTCAAAATCTCTCATATTCATTCCATCTAATGTTGATCATCGGAGATTGTCAAGATAAAAACGAATATTGATGGCAGTAAGTTTTCTTTTTTTTTTCCGGTACAACTTGCTTTATCTCATTTTTTTTCATCTCTCCCTTTTCTTTTTTTTCTCTAACAAAATTAAACATTTTTATAAAATTTTCCAAACTGGCTAACAATTTCACATGGTGAAATTTTTCATATTTATCATTTTCAAATTTGTACTGTTCGTTAGCTTGCTCAAGTCTTTTTTAACAACTTTTATTATTACATTATTTCCTTTATATTCATATTTATATTTACGCACTACATTTTATTACTTCAATTAAAATGATGGAAATGTCAATAAAAGGTTAAATTTAATTTAGAAAATGAATGGTTATTGGGAGCATTTACGTATCCCTTATCTGCGAATGTTATCCATTATTCACCCTTCGATATTCATAAGGAATGTGCAGGTAGTTCTAGAAATGGTGGGGAATTATTCTTCTAATTAAATATCACTGTTGGTACTGTAATTATAATCGATAATCGGTACATACTCTCTTACTCCCTTAAATTTCAATGGGATACAAATGCTCGCTATGATTCTTTTTAATTTTTAAAAAATTTTTTTTGATAGCTGAAGCAATAAAATGGTACTAATTTGTACCTTTTTTTTTTCATTTTTCTGCTTTATTAGTAGAAGAACATTTTTAATTTTTGTTTCTTTAAATTTTACAGAAATTAAACTTTTTTGTTTGTTTAAAAAATTATGATAAGTTTTTGAAGCTCAATTTTGTAGTGCTAAAAAAAAAATGGAAATTGATATGTGCTTTTTTTTCTCATAGATTTTTCATTCATTCAAGACTGTTATTGATTTTTTTTTTGATATTAAAGAAGTAAACTAATGATTTAAGTAGAATGGATGAAACTTGGTCTTTCTAATGAATGCTTTTTGATTGTTTTCTTTGTTTAATCAAATGGAAGAATGCTATAAACGAGTGCGATCGTAAGATAATTGCTGATCTGCTGATGAAGGAAAGTAGTTTTGAGATTTCAGTATTCACTAGAAAAATGGAAAAATTAAAATGTTGTGTGCAAACATATGCATGGGGTAAAAAAGGTATGGCAAGTGAGGTAGCCCGAATTTATGCTACCGGAAATCTCGATGCAACCATTGATAGTAGAACCTCATATGCTGAGGTATGATTTATCTGCGACTATTTTTTTCTTCATTTTTCTATCTAGTTTTGAAATTCAAATCATTCTAAAAATATGCTTAGGATAAATTAATATAAGATAAAAGAGAGGATGGATATAGACAATATAATTGAAGTTATGGATGGGTACACATCCCGATGGACCATGTCAAATTCAACGATCTCAGAAAAAACTTTCCCAACACATTGCTGAATGCGAAGACAGTAGCACTGAAAGGCATCTTCCATTCATTATGAAATTAATGAGCATACAGCATAATTTATCCATACAGGTTCATCCTACAAAGGTTTGTTCCTTTCTTCTCCTTCGAGTTCTTTGATAAAATTTATGATGAATTAAAGAAAAAAAAGGGAGTTAAAATTGACCTGACGACAAATATTGTTATAATAATAAAGTTAAAAATAAGCGAAGGAGATATTCAATATGAGAGATTGGCTCGTTTCAACATTACTCGAATAACGAACTTTTTTTTTTTTAAATTGAAAAGTACTGAGAAGTTTGGATGTCGAATTTCATATTCTATAGTGTTTAGGTTAATTTTAAATTATTGCTCTTTCTCATGAACCAAATTATTGCAGGAACAAGCAGTACAACTAAATGATCGTGATCCAATTCATTATCCTGATCGGAATCATAAACCAGAACTTGCTTATGCGCTTACTCGATTTGAATTGTTGTGCGGTTTTCGACCTGCTGACCAAATTTGTGCAAATTTTGAAGGTTTTTAAATTATTTCAATAATTTTAATCATGCTTTCAGAATTTGATTTGTTAATTGTTCGTGCAATTTAAAATTTATTTACTTTTTTTTGTTTATTTTCTTGAATGCTTTGCATTCACGTCTACTAGAATGCGTACAAGATAAGTCACTCATTATTTTATTCATTTACCTATTAGTGACTTGTATCACTGTTTGAAATTAATAATAATTCAAAATTTATGATTGTGTTTTGCAGCTTTCCCAGAATTAAGATATTTAATGGGTGAGGATACGTCGCAGGCATTTCAAATATTTGCAAGAGCCGGAGTTGATGGAGAATGTGAAACACTGAAATCTGCCCTGGCTGTATGCTTCAAAAAATTAATGAAACATTCTAAAGATAACGCCGATGAAGTGAAAACATTACTCGACTCTGTCCTTAAAAAACTCGTTTGTGGAAGTTTGTTCTTTCTGAATTTTTAAAATAATGATGTTTATGTGTTTATGAACTTGGAAAAATTTCTTAAGGGAGAATCTCATGGACTATCATTAACGACTTTATATTGAACTGAAAAGCTAAACTTGAATTTGGAAAATTGCTCACTCATTTAATGTATAAATTGTTTTTTCTTTCCCAAAATTCAAATTTTAGTTTATCGTTGTCCATAATCGGAAAGTTTTCAAAATTTTTGAAATACAATTTAAAACGAGCTAAAAAATTTTCAATCATTTTTAAAAAAGCTTAATTGTTCTTAAAAGGCACTCAGAATAATTTTGTATCAATTTTGGAACAATATAGAAAATTTGAAATGTAAAACTGCAGTACGTGGATCTCTTGGCGAAGAGACGGTGGCAGTAATTCAGAAAATGTCAAAAGATTTTCCGGGTGATATTGGTTGTTTTATACCGCTCCTTCTGAATCACATCATCTTATCACCCGGAGAATGTTGTTACTATGGCGCTCAAGAACTTCATGTTTATCTTTCCGGAGGTGGTTTATTCTTACGATATAATTATTTCAATATGGATTTTACCGGATTGATTGAATGAATGATTGGATATGATTATTTATTCTTCAGAGTGTATAGAATGTGTTGGCTGTTCAAACAACACAATTCGAGCGGCATGCACATCAAAATTTATCGATATCGATACCTTATGTGAAGTTCTAAACTACCGAATGACCGATCCGTCGTATTATTTTGTATCCCCAACTATTTTAAAAAATTTCCCACATATCCATGTTTACGATCCTGACTGCGAGGATTTTACACTTCACGAAGTTAAAGTAAATTTATCATCCTTTTTGTCTCCATTCTTCTTTTCGTTTATTGAATTATTCAAGTGAACGATAGTTTTTGGAAGAAAAATTCATTTCTAGAACAGTGAACGAGAAATGTCCTTACAGTGCAAAATGATTTTTCGAGAATGAATTAGAAAGAAAAAGAGTAGAAAAGTACTACCTTTTAAATGTCGATTAAAGTAATTGTAGGAATCAGTAGAAGATTAGAATGATTAAAAATGACTAAAATTAAGGACGAGTTAGTTGTTTTTAATTAGAACAGAATGCAGATATTTTTAACCTTTTCTAACTAAATGATTTTTGTAGCATTTATTGTTAGCTAATCCGTATTTAATTTCAACAGGCAAATTTTCTCGTATTTTAGGTGCCATCATCATCGCCAACAAAAGAATTACCAGTATTCATTCCAAGCTTAGAATGCGGCAGTATTATGTTGGTGATGGAGGGTGAAGGCATCATCGAAAATTATTCCGCAAAACGGAAAACACAACAATCTTTAACAATAAGGCGGGGTGATGTAATCTACATAGAATCACATGCCCAACTACGTTTCGTGAAATGCACTCGAGATATCCTAGCATATCGGACGTTTAGCTATGAGAAAGGACCTGACCATTTGTTTTACAACACTAATAAAACAGCGGTATCGGAGACGAATCATGTCACAGTTCAAATGAATGGTCGCATCAAGCCTTTGATTATGGATGATGATGCCGAAATGTTCGATATCGAAAATGAAATGGATGGAATCTGCTAAAATATCACATCATATCAAAGTCCTCATTAATATTTCCAGTTAAAAGTGTGAAAGTATACGGCGGTGATACAAATTAAAGCACCCAGTGCGGAAAATCTCAACTTACCCTGCTTCCACATTCTGTCATATATATTTCATATTCATTCCTTTTCTAAAACTACTCTTGATTTACATGAATTCACTTTTAATCAGTGAAAGTGATGTTTTCCAGACATTGATAATAGTCATAAGAAATATGTAACGAATTGAGTGATGTGTTGTCGGAACGTTCACTTCATATCAATAATGAATAGTTACGTAAATGACCTTTCATTCGTGCCTCCATTCAACTGTAAACATATGCTATGATGCAATTTGCGCGGTTATCATACTGCTTGTGCAATTGTTATATTTCGGAAATATGTTGAACTGAGATATTGTTGTGTTTTCAAATTCCATTTGTTCTTTACCTTATCTTTCTATTTAATAGGGGGAAAAAAATGCGAAGATTGTGCGGATCGCTGTGTAAATATAAGCACTGTTTAAAGAAACATATAAGCCATGTTTTGTTTAATGATTAATAGCAGACATAGATATTGATTAATAGTTTAAATATTCTTATCTACCATACAGTGTTTTAAATAAGACATGAGCTCCATCATTCTAGTTTCCATTTCATTCAAAGTTACTCGAATTCTCAAACTTTATAGGTTTGATTTCATCCATACATCAGGTCAGCAATAAAGAAGCATAACACACTTTATCACTCCTCTTGAATTACTTACTTGAACTTTATTCTTTATCGATAATGCGGACACTTTTAATACTAACTCAAATATGAAAAAGTATATAAAATTCACTGTTTCATTTAGAAATTAGAATGAGGAAAGAAAGCAGCAGCAATTCAAAAACAGAAACAAGGCAGATTGCTGCGTTTATTCGGTTGAAAAGAGGACGTCAATCAAAATTCGAAGTTTTATAAAGGATCATTAGCAGTACATTCCAACACCGTCTTGCATTAATGTGATTTGCACTCATACAATATTTTAAAGTTTTCTTTTCCATATAATTTTTCCTTGCCATCATCAACGTCATTTCCAATAAAAATAGCCTCATTCTGAATATATTTGTTCCTATTTTCAGTGAATAATGACTGAAGTCGACTATAAAGTTTCTCAGAAAGCTTTTTACTCCGAATTTTTTTAAAATCATTCGCAAAACTTTGTGTTCTAAGAAAATACTTATGATTGATTGAGGCTGAGAAGTTATTGTGCGACCGTATCGACAATGCTCTACTAATCTCTTAAAAGCTGAAGACAGCCAAAACCAAAACCAGAACCACACAACCACCAAACCAGCATAATAAAACTCAATCCACTGAGCAAGTTGCTATATCGAGACCATGCTGTGGGCGACAATGTGCTGATCGGAATGAAAATGTGATCTCACAATATTATAGATTTATCAAGATGACTTAACAATGAGCTATAAAGCAATGCACTAAGTGAGTGAGTGGGAACTTTTTACTTAATGCATAAACTAAGTGTGACGTGAACGCATATGTCGCATTACGTGGTTAGGTTTGATGCAGAATGCTAAAATATTCAGTTAACCTGCTTAATATTACTGATGATTTTTTTATGAAAGCATAATTTTATACTTCAAAAAAATACATAAAATAAAATGAAATAAGAGAAACAGAAGTCTTTTATTAGTTTGTTTCATCTGGGAATTTTTTCTTTGTAATGATTTCTTTTTTCTCTTTTGTTTTCCGCTTCTTTCTTTCATCGTTTAAATATCCGTGAATTATCTGCTATCATAACGATTTCCATCATATCTTGACTTCTCCTTTCCATCTATCATATGTCCACATTTATATAATGTATATTACATAAATGATAAGAAGCTTGAGTTATTGCTGAAAACATTAGTGGATTATATGCGATCACGCTATATTATAGTGTGAACAGAATTCGATGAAAAGTCAATTAATAGATTCCTCCATTTAATGGTTTGAGTGATAAAGAAAGGTCTCTTGACTTCTTCAGTTATCAATGTTATACGAAAGGAGAATGCGCAACATGCATAAGCCATCCTTCTAATGATATACTGCAATTCTTTAAGAAATCCCAAAATCGTATTATTTAATTTTGTGATGAATCCATCAACATAAATTAGTCTCTTTCTCCATTCTTCCGTATTTTCTCTTCTCAGAATTTTCATCAACGCGTATCGAAATTCAATGTATTACATTCACGAAGATGGATTTCAGGATGTTGCGTAAACTGAAACGACAGGTAACGCAAGCCGTAAACAGTGTTACTCCCTCCGAGGTACTTCCTCACCTTCTTATTTGTTGACATTGCTCACTTTGCAAAAATCATAAGAGGAATAAATTCCTCATTAGTTGAACATACGCTCTTATCTTATAAGGCGATTAAGACGATAAGAAAGGCCGGTGAATAGAAATATCGTTAGGTCATCGGTCAGACAAATTCAGTAAACGATTTGTCTCTTTTGTTTTGTAAAAAAGTGACAAATAGCTCGATGAATTTCTCTGATTTTCTTGTACGAAAAATTGTGTAGCAAAGTTCCACTTCATTCTAATTTGCAGCCTCAACACGTGCCACTGTACAATGAAAGTGACACATCTTCAGAAGGATTTCTCTGTCCCGTATGCATGCATTCATTTTCTTCTCCAGATGAATTGCAGATACATTTCAAAGTGCATACAGTTAAGCAAATTAATAATGTCAGTTATGTTTACTTGCAGTAATTAATTTACCAAAAAAGCTCGATTTCGAGTACCATTTTGTTTCAGTTCACAGATGGAGTGTGGTTACCAAAACATTTTGGTGCTATCCAGTTCTGTTCGCTTTTTATGAAGTATTACTTTTTTTTCAGATCGAGGAACAAAAAGTTATTGATTCCTCCTCATTTAATTCATTTGGTACATTTATTTCCTTTTATTTAAAACATTTAAATATTTTCACAAATTGAAAATTTTTTTTTCGCATTTCCAATGCAAGTTAAGCACTCGATTTTATTGCTTCAATAATACGGTAAAGATGTTTTATTTAGGGAATGGTTTTAATGAGTCAGATGTAATTCATCTCGAATTGGATATGAAAGAACTTAGATCGCAGTTGCAAGATGAGAAACGCTATTCAATGGAGTTGAAAAAGGAGCTTGATAGGTTGCATGGCCTTATCGCAAACCAGGCAGAAATATCTGAAGTATAACTGTTAATATTGAACGTATAATTTTTTACCCAAAAAGAAGTAGGATGGTTATAAATGTTTTTCATTGCATTTTTTCTTTTGTGTTGTATGCATTTTGACAGAATTTGATTGTTTTTTGTTGAAGAAATTATATCGAAATTTTAGGACGAAGTACCTTATCTTACGCAACAAATGCAGGTGCTCGAAGCTGGGAAAGCATTAGGTTATTTCTTTTGATTTTTTTTTTAAAGAAACTATCTTATATTTCTGAAAGGGATAACGGTTTTATTTCCAGCAACGGAGCGAATGCTTGAAATGGAAAAAGAAACAAGTGGGATGAATCGACAAGTTGAACAACTGAAGCAAGAAAAGAGCAGATTAATCAAAAAAATTGGGGAACTGTCGACGAATATTACCAGCAAAACAGATGAAATCGAAGAGAAAAATAAGGAAAAGGCCCTTTTGGGTGATGAGCTAGTGCGCTATCGGCAAGAGATACAGAATTTGGAAGTAGAAATTGAAGATCTACGAAAAAAACTTGATCAAAGGTGAATTGTGGGTTTTCAGAAATCTTTTATGATTTTAACATAGCTAGAAAGTGGGTTTGCTCTTTCTTCGTGTTCTATTTAATTGAATTTAGACTATCAGAAGATGATGTCAGTGTGCTCAGGAAAGAATTGATACATGCACAACAGCTAATGGACACAATAACACAAGAGAAAGAAGAAGAAATTAAGAAGGATATTGATAGAATACGTGATATGGAGCAAGATCATAAAAAGTAAGCTACTTTGGTTTAAGGTGTTAAATTTATACTTTTGCTTGAAAAATATTTTTCTTTGTAAAGCAGGATTCTCGTTGAAAGGGTATGTCAAAATATCTTTTCAGGTTAACTTGTGAAATTGAAGTTCTAAAAAGCAATATTAAAGTCCTCAAGAATACGATCGCTGAGTGAGTTAATAAGTTAATGCCTTTTCACTTTGCTAATCATGTAGTGAGTTTCCTAATCTTTGGCTTCATATATAAGTATAAAATTATTTCAGATTTGACAGTGGATCTAAGAAACTTATTGATGAAATCGACACTTTCAGAAAAGTTTGGGAAGTATGTTACTCATTCATTTTCTATGCATTCCAAAGTTGTAATTTAAATTTCAAATGCAGGAGAAAGCGACAAATGCGACTGAAAGAATCTCTGATGCTTGCAAGAAAGTCGACGATTTAGAAGTTATTGTGAATGGATATCGAATAGATAACGGAACTGAAGGGAAGAAATTTTCGGAACTTGAAGATGTAAAAAAATCTCTTTTGGAGGTAATATCAGCGATAATAGTTTTGAGAAATACTTTACTGATATTGTATTGTGTTGAAGTAGGCAGTGACATCACTTCTTTCAGCTTTAAATCCTTCTTTTTTAATTTAGGTTTCGCAAGAAAATGAAAGGTACAAAAACGAGATAAGGCAAAGTAAACATGCGTTAGAAGAGGCTGTGTCGAGGGCTGAAAAAGTTTGTTTGAATCTATTTTTAAATCAGTTTATTCATAACTGGTAATGTCATGTTAGTCTTATTCATATTTTCAGGCGGAGAAACAACACATTAATTTGCAACAAGAAATTATGTTATTAACGGCATCTCTCGATGAACAAAAACAGAATTACGTAGAAAAGGTTCGAGATAATCAAATAATTTTTTATGAAATTTCCAAAATGATTTTACTCGTGTTCAGTAAGTGATCACGATAACTCTTCAGGAAATGCAAGCAGTTAAGGAAGAAGAAACGGTAATCGAATGTCGGAAAGAAATTGAACAATTGAAGAAAAACGTTCTTAAATTGGAAATTTCCTTGACTGAGGCATCTACTACCGAAGATATTTTGAAGCAGAATTTAAAAGAAGCGAAGGCAAAAGAATCACTTTTGATGCAAAAAGTTTGTTCTTGTCACGTGACTTATGGTAGTTTTTAGCAATTATCTCTTAGATAGATTTTTCGAATTTATTTCAATTCATATATAAAAATTTCTGCAATTTTGTTGCATAATCATAGACGCTAGTATTAAAATACAGCTTAATTTCTTTTATGTCATATTTTTGCTTACTATAGTTCAAAATCTAACGTATTGGAGGGGTCTAGGTTTTTTCAAAGGCAAACAGATTTCAATGTTGTCATAATTGAGCATTGTTCACTGTTTAAAATTAACCAAAGAAAAATTTTTCTACAGATTTCTGAGGGCGAAGGAGTCGATAAATTAGCAGTGGAACATATGCATAAGGAGAAAATGGCACTTGAAGAAACAGTAAATGGATTAAATGAAGCTCTAAAATCTCTAAATGTGTCGCATGAATATGCAATATCTCAGCATGAAGAAAGTTGGAAAGAGAAGATAGAAGTTGAAAAAGAAAAAGTGAGGAAACTAGAAAATGAACTGAAAAAATTGCATTGTAATTGCATTTCTGCTAGGGAAGAGAATAAGAAGGTTTGTGATTTTTACTGTGCATTTTTTCTTCAATTCTTGTTCATCTATGGTATTTCCTTATCTTTTGCTTTAGATTCAAAAAAAAAAAAAATTATTTTCTTAAACAAACACCATTGCTTAGCATTCCAATAAGTGTCATTTCTCATTGAAGAATGTTCTACGTTACCAATAATTTACATCAGTAATGTTATAGTTTCGATAAAACTGTTTAATTGTTGCACTTTTTGTTGTATTTTAGTCTAAACTATACCTTGAAATTGAATGAGACCTTTTTTACATAAGATGACAATACCACAGCAAAATATAGTTTATATACGACGCTGTGATTTTGCTGAAGTCAGAATTTATCTATCTAATTGGTGATGATTCTGCAATATTTCCGCATTTTTAATTGTCATCTTATGTAAAGCGAATTGTTCTAGTTGTCGGCAATGCTGGAAGAAAAAATAGCGACAATTGAAGAAAAGAATAAAATAATCGAAACAGAAAGTGCCAAATTGAAGTCAGCTGTTGAAAGGTTCACGCTAATAGAAGAAAAAGCAAGACAATTGGTTGGTTATTTCCATTTAATTTATTAAGTTTAGATACGAGGTTTGAATCGTTGTTTTTAAAGACTCTGGCGACTCATTATAGTCATGAATTGCGATATATTATAGTTCCGTTTGTTTTTTTTTTCAACAATAGACTTCGGAAAATATTTGACTTTACAAAAAAGAAAAAAAAATCAATACATCGATACAGTAAACAAATTAGTGTCATTCTCTTCATGTGAATTATTGAAATTTTCCAACCTTACTGGAGTTTAACAATGTTCATAGGATAATGAACTGCATGAAAAAGAAACTGTAGCGATCAGACATAATGAAGAATATATGAAATTGGAAGAAACGATAAAGAACGTACAATCAGAACTGAAAGAAATAAAAACAGCAAAAAAACGGGTTCAATTTTTTGATGTTTCATTTTCTTTTGCACATTTTGAAGCCAATTTTTAGACGTTTTTTACAAGTTTTGAAATGTGACTACTGTTATTCTCTGTGTGAAGTCAACGCTGAGAAATACTTGTTCCAGAAAATCTCTTTTTCTGGGATAACAGTTTTATAAGTTTTTGGAAAGTAAGAAAAAAATTGATTGAGTAAAATTCTAAATCATACTTATGTTGTCCATTTTCAGTCAATACAATACTACAGTAAAATCAATACAGTGAGTAAAATCAATACATCAATACAGTAAAATCAACATTACAGTGCTGTTAGCAAACTGGCGATGATGACAAAAAAATTGTCAATTGTGGAGGAAGATTAGCTGTACTTTATGTTATTTCAGTTAGAATGCAACTTAGCGGAAAAGGAGGAAAGTTCGAAGAAGAGTGTTTGCCAGTTACAGGAGGCACTTTCCACATGTGAACAAGAAAAAAATGCGCTGAAAGAACAACTTGAAAGTGTCACGCAGCAATTTTCTGCGTTGGTATGTTATGTCTTTATTTGGTGTTAGAATGTTTACAGTTTTTTTTATTTGAATGATATCATTGATTTCGAATCAATTTTTAAATATTGCTAACGGTTATTCTTGTTTTAATCCTACTTTGTTTTTTCTGATATTCCAGATATTCGGAGTATTTTGCAGGTTGAAGAATGTTCGAAATATAAAGATAACGAAGTTAAATTATTGGCGAACGTGAACCAAAAGGAATTGTCAATAAAGGTAAAAATATCGAAACATGATAGATGTAACATTTTTTCGGAAACTTTGCACTGTCCATTGTAGTATATTATTATGTAGAAAACGAATCCTTTATAGAATACAATTTGCTTGAATAGTTTTGTTTCCCCTTCCATATAATTGTAGAAACTAATTCAGTGTAAAAAGCAAATTTCTAACATAATCTAAGAACGGATTGATTTCAGAAAGATATGATTTTCTTGGTAATTTTGATTCACGAAGCCAAGTTTAAGTATTATAGGAATTAGAAGAAAAGATCAAGAATTTAACGGCAAAATTGGAATTTGAAAGACACAAACATGATGACTCCATAAAGGATTTACAACATGATTTGAGTAAGATGCAACAGGAGAATACAGCGGTATTGACTGCAAAAGAAAGAGTTAAATTTTTTTTTATTTGTTGTTGTGAAATTTCATGGTATGATGGAAAATTGCTAGGGTTTGTTGCTGAGCAAAGTTTAATAATAGCTAAATTGCTGTCTTTAAAGACATGAGGACAAATGAAGAGTATGTTTAGAAATGAAACTGGAGAAAATAATAAAAGTTGATCGAAAGTAAAGAAGAGACGTCAAAATATTGGAATCTAAAAAGGTTTTTGAAATTCAAAATTAACAGATTGGTATACAGTGTCTCGCAGTGTAGAAACATTTCTAGGATATGTACTTACACAAGCTTCCTTCCAGGAAATGGTGACCCAATTGAAAACGATTTCTGAATTAAACGAGAAACTTCGTATGAAAGGGAAGCAGTTATCTGATGTAATGCAAGAGAAGGTAAAATTATTGTTTTTAATCGTTATTTTTAATCATAGTTTCGTCATCAATGTTACTAATATAAATATTGCTGAGTATCTTTGTTTTTCAATTACAGTTGTGCATAACAGCATGCAGTGGAATATTATTCACTAGAACAAGATTTTTGTTAATTGAACCACATACTAGCAATGGTTTTTGCGAAATCAAAGTTGTGGGCGAAAAACCATAAGTAAATCGGCATGTTGGATAAAACTAGTTCATTTGCAGGAAAGAGTACATAGCGAATTGCGCTTAAAGGAAGAAGAAAAATGTGCTCTGGAAAATGAAGTATTAAAATTGAACGAGCAAAACTCCGAGGTATCTAGAATGAAAGCTTTTATTTCGATATATTCGGAAAATTCTCGAACTTTGCTTGTCCTCATATTTCAGTTGCGGAAGGAAGTGGATGACTTTAAAAAGTACATGTTGCAGCTCAGAAGTGATTTTGAAAAAGAGATTGACTTGTTGAAAAGCAATTTGGTTAGTATTTTGAAATTCTAAATTTGATTCTAGTGTATATTTTCTCTTTCTTTTCGGATTTTGCTTTTCCACAAACTTTGCTTTCAGGAAAAATGTAAAAAGGATAAAGAAGAAAGTTTGTCGAAACTATATGTAGAACTGGAAACAGAAAAAAATAGGCTAAAGCAAGCTTCAAAAGATAATGAAGAAAAAGATGAAAATTTGAAACAAATGAAAAATGATTTGGAAAATGCCAAAGGAGATTTAAGTGAATTAAAGAATGTTCAAAGCGGTAAGTTTTTGTATTCTGTAATACGATTCACTGAATTCTTTAATGTTACTATTTAGTCATGGAAAAAACGCGTGAAATATTGTCTTATATTATTACTGTTTATAAAATTGATTTGCTTCTGTATCATCTGTTTACTTGCAGAGTTGGAGAAAAGGAAAACGGAGTGGTTGCAAGAAAAACGAGCATTGCAGGAAAGGTTGGTGTGATATCTACCTATGTTTTGCACTCAACAAAAGTCAGAATGAGACAAAACTTGAATAAAAAAAGAATGTGCTAAATATTTAGCTAGTTTTAGGTGTTTGACAGCAGAAAGTGATCTTGAATTTGAGCGCGAACGAGCTATTGTAAACAAGAGAAATTTCGATGATGTTCAGACTGCCATCCGAGAACTTGGACAAATGAATCAAAATTTGCAGGTTAATCTTTTGAAGTTCTGTCATTTTATTCCATTTTATTCTGCTGTGTTATGAATCATCTTTTTTTTAAATAAAAAATTCAAGAAATTGTATCTTTTAATCCTAGAGATTACAGCAATTTTGACATATTACTTTGGCGTTAGTTTTCTGCAATGAAGTTTTCAATTAAATAATCAAAACTTCTTTTTAACTTTTGTTGTTTTTCTTGCTTTGCCCGTGCAAGACTGAAGGCATTTTGATATTTTTGGTTGTTAAAATTATCAATATTTTAGCTGGATTTTGCGAAACAAATATCACGTAAATGGTTGGAAGATTCAGAGGCCATAAATTGTCATGCATGTGACAAGCCATTTACTCTTACAACTCGCAAACATCATTGCAGACAATGCGGACAGATATTTTGTGCCTCATGTTCCTCGTTTACAGCTAAGATTGCATCATCAAGAAATCCGGTTCGTGTTTGTAATGCATGTCATGAAGAAATTGTGCACCGATAATTTCGAATTTTCGGATTTCTATATAATGCTGAAAGCAATTGAAAAATGGTGTCTGTTTTTTTTTTTTTAAATGGACAATATTTCTCCCTATATTTATTAACTTTTTTTGCCTACAGTCGCCACCAATTAGAACAAAACATTTAATAGTATTTATTTGTTGACGAATCGGAACTGTACATAATTTCAAGCATAATTAGAATTTATTTTGTTTCACCAAATGCTTTGATTTCTTTAATTTTCTTTGGAAGATTGATCGATTGACAGATATGTGATTTGATTAACTGACATATAATCAGAAAATATTTGTATTTGATTTTTTCTGCAATTTATTTGCTTGATTGCGAACATTCAAATTTCTACTTCTTTGTGCCTTTCAAATCTTATGTAATTACAGTCGGTGGAATTTTTTTTTTGCTGAATTCTTACGAACGAACGTTTATATTGTTCACTGTTCCTAGTTGATACATGCTGTGATATTAAATTACGCTGTTTTTCTGTTTTATGATATTGTGATAATGCGTTTTGAGTAGTCATTACTATCGTTTTAATTGCCTTGTTTTAAAATTTTTAAGATATTCAACATATCATATGAATTCAAATTTATTGCTATATAATATAATTTTTGCATCACAGTTGGTAGTATTTATTTGTTGACGAATCGACACTGTGGATAGTTTCAAACACAATTGGAATTTATTTTGTTCTTTGAACAGTTGTTTGGCAAAATTATTTCCCTTCGGGGAAAATCTGAAATATAAAACTATGGGTACCATTTCTTATCAGCACCTATAAATCAGCAATTAACAAGTGAATAACTGATAAATAAAAACTAGTTCATTTCAATTACCGTGGAATTAATCGTTTTTTTCATTCAGATTAAAAGTAAAAAAATTCGACTCTTCGTAGAGAGTTTTGTGATGGTATGAAAATTAATCTTTCAAGGTTAAGAGTTTAAAGCTCTGTTAAAAGTAACTATAACATATTTCGAATTGATCTATACGCTGAGCACCTCAACGCGCTGACTGCGATTTCATTCGTCATTTTGAACCTGAATTGTTGTGCTACATTTATCAAAGTCTCGTACAAAATAATGCAATTTGTTTTTGGAAGTTGCACTTTTGTTTTTTCATTTAGTCACTTGGAACAGATTAGTTTTGTGATGACGTGAAAATTAATTTTTTGTTTTCATTTAGTCACTTGAAATGACTAGTTTTTGTGATAGGTCAATTTTTTTTCAAGGTTAAAAGTTTAGGTTAAAAGTTTAGAGTCTGTTAAAAATAAGCAGGACTCTACACTTTTAACTTTGAAACATTGACTCATAGTAAAGTTATTTCGATTTAATAATTTCGAGAAAAAATTTTATTGAATTGTTGGAACTTTAATTCAATGCATTCCTTGTATAAATCAAAGCGAACGTAGCTCGCCATCAGTATCCGGAAGAAAAGTTCAGGATACCAGTTAAATAATGGTTAGAAGTTTAAATTTAATGCATTTTAGACCACGGATAATGAATTCCTGATTGAAATTATTATTCGAATTCTCTGAAGTAAAAAAAAAACATAAAAGTTTCATCTTTCAGAATTAAGCCTGAATTCACGAATTACAGGAATTGATTGAAGAAGCCCTAATTAATTTATCAAAATGTGCAGTGCAACATCAGAAGCATCCTGGACTGAAATAAATTATCCGAAGTTAACATATAGCTTTGCTTTATTACTGTAACTAACTTGATCATTGTAATTGTGGATTTATTTCGAATAAAGAACTAATTGTCGATTTAAATTAAAGAAAAAAAAACCAGCGGAACTATCTCTATATGGATCTCAATAGATCTCAATATTTTCATTTAATTTAACAATTCTGGGAATCTATTAAATTCTAAAATAATAAGATCAAGTTGTAAGCCGGAGAATGAAATTAGGGATATTTTTTTCCTGATTAAAATTACAGCATAAACTATGAAATTCGGCAGAAGGCAATAGAGGAATATTAAATTTAAATTCAGTATTAAAAGTTAAACTTCAATATTAAAAATTTAAATCCCGGATGATCGCTTATATCATGTCATATCATATCATACCAGGGGTGGCGGCATTTACCAAAAACAAATCTTAACTCAATTAGAACCACGCCTTCGCTTCTTTTTTTCTCTCAACCGATAGTAATGATGATTGTCATCAAATACAGACGACATAGACGGCGAAAAGCTACGTCATAGATTTATTGTCGGGTACAGGAAGTGGCAAGCTTCCTACAACGTCCCCTAAAGAAAATTTAACATTAAAATTAAATTTATATGTGTAATACAATCGCTTCTAGCACAGCATCATTACTGCTGTTAATACTACTATCAAATTTTGGAAGAGATACCTATGCCATTGTTTGCACTTATATGAATGAGCGGCACAATGATGGTGATCGATGGGTAAGTGATATTTAAATTTTAAATTTTAAATTTCAAGTAGAAGAAGAATAATAAAATGTAGCAATTTCTCTATAAATGATAATAATATATATTTTGATTTTAAAAAATATTTTTAGTCGTAGCATTACTCCGAATATTTTGATAAATTCAAAAAATCTGAAAATAACAAAATGAATATACACATATAAATCATTTCAAAAGAATATGGTTAATTTGAATTATAATCACATGGCATGAAAAAATAGAAAATGCGGAGGATGAATGAATAAATATTAAATTTCAGGTAGTTCGATCAGCATTCATTATCGAATGTCACGTTTATCCGAACGGATCATGGAGAGCTGATGTTGTTGCATGTCAAACACCGAAAGGTATCGAAATGCATGCTGGTGATGAAATTATGGAGGATGATGTGGTTCGTCTTCATTATCTTCCTCTCAGTGCTTCATCAATTAATTTATAGTTTTTCAAAATTTCGAATAGAAATTTAAAAATGTTTTGGAGTTTGAAATATCATGGGTATAAACTATTACAATCTATTATAGTGATATTTTTTTAGTATTATTGCAATAAAAAGAATTAGACATTAATTAAATAAATTGAAAAAGAATTGAGTAGAATTAAGAAATCTGATGTAAAGATAATAGATAAAATAAGAATAAGATTTAAAGATATGACTTCTTTGAAGGAGCATAGTATTTCGTGTACTTGAATAAATTTGATAAATAAGGGATCGAATTTCTTGCTTTCATACTTTTCCTTTTTTCAATCAATTTTCAATTCTTTAATTCAATTCGCTTCCTTATATTTTCTATAACATGCATCATTTGCAACGGTACTTTATTTTTCAATTTTTGAACTTAAAATTATTTTTTGCTCAAATTCATTCTTCAGAAGTTCCAATGTGCAAAGTTACCATCAGGCGGATATCAATTGCAAAAACATTATTTTAATCGGAACATTAGCTGTGAGGGGCATAACTTTGGTAAGAATTCATTTAAGTAATATATTTTTTTCATTAATTCATAATTCATATGTATTTCATATTTTTATTCTAACAATTATAAAGGAGAATGGTGGATCAGTAAAAGAAACTTCAATAAAACTTGTACACTAATGGGAACGTATATTATGAACTGTTTAACGAATACCGGTATTCCGATTAAATTAAACACGTCCGTTACATTGAATGGAACTCGATATAAGTTTGTTTCTATTCTTGTTAAAATTCATGGTTATTCAAATTTAATGCCATTTTTGTGACAGAGCATTACGATTTTTCTATTTCAAATTTACTGGCATCAATGACATTGGCTGTACAGTGAAATGTATCGGATGACTATTTGAAGGACTATTTTTTCATTCATCACTCATTCCTCTACACATTTTCTGAACTGTTTACTGCTAACTTTTTATCGTTAGGAGTGCATTTTACGGTCAACCCATTGATCTATTTCGGGATTTACTTATTATAAATTAATTTATTACATACAATGCATACAATGAAATAACTCTTTTTATGATTAATCTTTAACATTCCTTGACAATGTTTACAAGAATGAATAAAGTATTATGGAAAAGTTATCTTTTTCAAATTTTTGTCAAAACAATCGAAAAGAAAAAAATGATAATCGACGGAAATCGTATAATTTAATAGAAATTAGTGAAGAATGAATAATATTATAAGGTTTTATTATGATATTTTTGAAAAGAAGATTAAAATACAATCATTTTAATATTATTTTTCAGTTGTACAGGCCATAGCAACGGTTTCGTAACTTTTACACGTGACTTCTCGAGAAATTTTCATACCATATCGAAGAATGAACAAATTTATTGCACCGTTAACGGTACGCAAAAGAAAATTAATGAAACGTTCGTT